GCCGCATTGGCGTCGAGAGAGGATGGGCTGGCGGCGGGAAAGGGTGCCTTTCGCTGCTATCTGGCGACAAGGATGTTGCCCGCAACGCCAATCCATCCAACCTGTCGGCGACAAGACGAACGATATCCTCGAACGGGTTAAAGGCCGGGCTGGGGTGGTCAAGGTTCGTTCGGCGAATGGGGGGGACGAGTCGCCGCGGCCCAGGCCCCCGAATGAATCCTTTTAGCTTCCTTCCAGGGCTTGTCTACTGCGTATCTCTGGTTCTCTCCCTTGAAGTGTCACATCCCGCGCTGCTGATGATGGATGTGGTGTGTACAAATATGTGTGTGGTACACATGTTAAGAAAACCCACACCATTGTCTCCCGTTATCTCCATCTCGTTCTTGGTATCCTCGCTTCCCGCATCGTCGCAATCGGCAAGGGGAGGCACATGCTTGTCCGGGGGCGCCTTATGGGGGTGCTCCAGCGCCCACTGTCCAGCATTGCCCGCCTCCCACCTTTCGATCCACTGACTGACATGCGGGAGAGATTCGTACACCGCACTGACCAGCTGTAGTGGGAGACCCCTCGCTCGCCATCCCCTGCCTCTCGATCCTTCAGTGATTGTATCCGTGACCTCTTACCACCTGTTCGGGAATTCCTCAGGTTTTGACGATTCGCAAATCAACCTAGCGTTATGCCTTGCGTCGTCTCTTCTAAGCTTCGCTTTGCCTTTTCGATATACCGCGCAAGATCGGCTCGTCCCGCAACGTTTGTTCGTGCTTGCCTTTGCGTTGACAACTGACACCCCCGCGCACGCACGGATGAGGCCCCATCGGCAGGCTGTCAGCCAAACTCATCCCATTTCCTAGGCGCCCAGGCCGTCTTGCGTTGGCAAGGAGCGCCGTGGCGGTTTGACATGACCAGTTCCGGGACGTATATTACTGTTTTGCGCCTCAGCATACGAGCTGTCTTGAGTCTTATCGAGTGTATTGCCTGTGGTGGATATTGGAGAATCAGTCTCTCCCGCCGTCTCCTACATTACTTTGAAAAACTGTTCCTCTCTTGCAGCGGTGCTCTAAATGCCCATCACTTCGAATCTAGAGGCTTGTCTTGAGGGTTGTACCACCAATCATTCTTTAAATCAACGGCTGCATTATCACTCCCATCATATGAATCAAGGTACATCACAATGCTTCGTCAACCCGAACGCACGCTTACAATCTTCCAATGTCATCCACTGGAAACATTTCTTACAACGCGTTTTGTAAAAACCCAAATCACTCCTTGTACAACGCCACCTGTGCTCGTCGGTATGGATGCCTCCAAAGACACAGTCATGCTGTAATATAAACATAATATCCCACACTTGCTTGGTCATTACAAGACGGGGAAGACAGTAGATGACGAGAGACGACCAGGACATGGATCCTCATCAGCCAAGCATATCAAATCAAGCCCACGGCTGCACCTTGAGCTTGCCGTTTTCCCTGGGCTTGCGCGACCATCCCGTGCTGAAGAGCTTGCCCATGTCGAAGCGAGGGAGGGGGTGCGCCTCCGTGTTGAGGACAATCTTGTCCAGGGGGAGCAGATCGTTGGGAGAGAAGAGGAGATAGAAGTACTTGAGAGTCTCGGCCTGATGGAGCATGTCAGCAACCACTTTCTCAAAGCTAGGAGCATGTAACTTACCATCCAGAAACTTTCCAGGTTGTCACGGACGACTGGGGGAATTGTGTTGGCGTTGCTCAAACTGGTGAAGCCACCGCCATCCTCGACCGAGGTGTAGTTGACGAAAGATTTGAACATCTCCCAGCCCCAGTCACGGTACTTCTGATCTCCGGTGATCCTCCACATGTAGAACAAGCTCTCAACAGTCTCTGGACGCTGCAAGTTGTGGACATCCATGGCGTGGACGTCGTAGTCCTCGCGCCACTTGGCGTGCGGGTCGGGGTCGAAGGTCGAAGGCGGATTGTGGGAGGCAGAGGCAGGGGCCGGCGGGCTGTCGACGTTGAAGTAGGTGATTTCAGCGGCGAGTCCAGTTGCCATCCATTTGTACATGCCCCAGCAGGTTTGCATGAGCTCGCGAGCCAGCTTCATGTCAGCGTCCTTCTTCTTGTTCCACGTCGGCAGTCTTCTGGCTTCGGCTTCAGGAATACCCCCGGTAGCTCCCAAAGCGATTGTTCCCGGCATGAAGCACACCAAGTGGTCCATCTTGGGAGACAAATCGTTCGAGAGACCGTTGGGTCGCTCTCCGAGGACTGTGAAGCCGGAAGGCTTGCTGTATGTGATGAGATGCTTTCGAACTCCCTCCAGGGCCTCGTTCCACATTTCCAGGTAAATTGGCTCCTGCTTGTTCGTCTGCAGGTACTGCTTGATCAGGTACTCATAGTACGAGTCGCCGCGGGAGCCCAGGCGAATGTTGTCGCCCCTGAATTTTCCGTCCGTGGCGTAAACGAAGATGGGGACCAGGCCGTCTTGGGCACCGTTGTCGTCGACAACCTGCATGGCCTTTTCAACCTTGTCCCAGAAGTCCTTCTCGCCGGTGAGCTTGGCCAAGTACTTGAATTCGAGTTGCAGAGTCGTCGCCTCGGCAGTCGAAGAAGCACCGCCATCCGCGTGCGACTGGATGCCCTTGTACTGAGCCAGGTTGACGCTGGCCCACGGGACTCCTGACGGCGAGTCGAAGGCAGCCATCAAGCGATCGGCCAAGTCCCTCGCCTTCTCCAAGTATAGGTCTTCACCGGCCTGGCCCGGGTCGTCGTCTTTTGTGGGGGCTAGGTCGGGGTATTCGTTCGACAGGTAGTGGGCTGAGAGGAGGCCACCGAGCATTCTGATTGTCGTCTCGAAAGTATTGACGTCCTGGTCCTGGTCGTAGGTCAAGCCTGTGGCGAGCCATTCCCTAGCGTGAGCCAGGCGCGATGTCTGGTTCATCAAGATCATTGTGTCCAGCGAATCGACGATGATCCATCCGAGGCCCTTGGGCGCCATCTGTCGGCCCGTCTTCGCAATTGGGTGGTACTCGTCGTAGCCTGCAATTCAAACATGTCAGCATAGACATCCAGAGAAAGTGCGTCGCAAATCCCAGCTCTTCTTAAGCCAGGTGCCACCTAGGTTGACTGTTTGGCGCCAAACCGACGAGAAGCAAGCTCCCCAGCTGCGACGAACCCGTCGCCAATGCTGTCGAGCTCTGGAGTTGTCGCAAATCGACGTCGGCGGGTGGCAGCCTGTGATTCCCAAATCGCAGTCTCGACTTACCCCATGCGTAGCGCTCGTAGGAATCCCAGCTGAGCTGGAAGGCCTCGACAACTCGTTCTCGCCGTTTTGTCCAGTCCGCCTTCTTGCCTGCTGGCTCTGCGGAGCCCAACCATCCGTTGGTCAACTGCGACGCCGATTGCCGGGTCTTGGACCCCTCGGAGAAGAAGCCAAACCACCAGAGGCCGGTGAAGAGTAGCAGCAGGGTGCCGATTATGGAGCGCTTCCTGCGCCAGAGGGGTCGCCACCTCCGCGAGGCATAGTACGGCTTGTCTTTGTACATGGGAAGCTGGCCCTTTGTGCCCAAGAGGTCCTCGACTCGTCCCTGGACTCCTTGGAAGAGGCCTTGGTTGCGGGCTCTGCTGTTCGCAGCGCCCGAGCCCCAATACCGATCCTCCAGTTGTCGCTGCGGGTTGCTGAAAGAAGGGACATTCTTGGGGACATTGAATGCCATGTCGATGTCGTTCAGGGCGTTGGCCGCGTTGGCTCCGGCCTCAACTGCCTTCTCCTTGATGTTTTGGGCAGCGCGGGCGGCGGTGATTTTGAAGACGTTGAGAGCTGGACTTTTGTGTAGGTTGAAGGGGTCGCGGACGTTCATATTACACTCTTAGCATTGTCGCAGTGGAGACCTGGCGGTTTCGAAGAGACGCAACGGGCTGGGAAGGTGCGATTCGGCAGCGCGAGCGAAGAAGAAAGGGCAAAAACGAAATCACCCCCGGCAACGAAGCACAGAAAATGCAAATGCAGTCTACATCAATGGATGCGAAAGAGCGACTGAGACATGCGCACGCGAATCTCGATGATGTGGACTTTTATTGACTGGACCGGAGAGGCGGTATCACCCAGGCGGTAGGCGGGCCACCTAGCTAACTACCTTGCCTACTAGCTACCCAGGCAAGGTACGAATACACCGCGGACAGTGACGACTGTTGCCCACCAGACGCAAATGAGCATGTCCATCTTTTCTGTGCTGCGACCTTCATCCATAAAGCCTCCGTCCTTTTTCTTCTCGTCGTTTCTGTCTCTCTCGCTGTCCGTAGCCCACCCGTGCTCTCGTCTGCTTCCTGAGCTTCGGGACTCACCTTTGAGCGAGTAGTCCGTCGCGCCCAGAGCCTTCGGCACGGTTTAGCAGACTTGGCCTCTCTTCCAACCACCCTTTGGGACCCCTGGACTTGAAAAAGGCCACCTGTAAAAGCCAGAGACCAGTCGCCAATGGCGGGCGGGCACTCCGGGAGATATGGCTGAAATGTGGATGCCAGGAGAAAAGAAGCCCGACATTTCCGGCGCGGCTCTTCGTGACCCAATGGCTGACGCTACTGCGCTGAGTGAGCCACTGTCGGGTGGACAGTGTATGGATGTCACTTCTGTGAGTGGCCTGGACTGGGCCCCGTCACTCCCCTGCCAAAGTACCTACCCGCCCAGACCTCCGCTTCCCGTTGCTCGGGCCGGTGGGGTCTGGAAGGGCACACAATCGGCAGCAAGCATCATCAACGTTCCTGAGGTACTGAGACCTAGCGCGCCCAACACCGACGACTTTGATATCGGCCTGTCGCAGAATGAGATGAGAGCATCATAAGGCACACCTAAATTCCAGAAGGGATTGGAAACACGCACAGCAGATCGAACTAAAGTGGAAGACGAATCTTTGGTGATATATCAAATCGCGGCCGGGGTTCATATTCACCAAATATAGCAAATTCATCGATATCCAGACCCCGTCTGAAGCGAAGGGATTTTTTCATACCGACAGCGCCTAACAGAGACCAGACATGTCGTTCAAGGACTATCCATCGCTAGCCCCAGAAGAGTTTGCGGAAGCGTGCCACCACTTTGACAGCCAATACTGCCGCGCGACCTTGGGTCCCCTTCGACAGCGATGGAAAATGATGGTCTGCACGGCGCTAGACACCTCCTTTGCGATGGGCGTTGAGTACACAACCTACCTGCAAATTATCCGGCCGCTGGAAGCTACACTGGACTGCGGTGATCTCTCCTCGGTTCTGGACAAGTTCTCGTTTGGAGACGGAGAGGCGCCTGGATTAAATGACGAGGCTATGATAGATGCTGAAGAGACTGATGAGGTAACGTCGCCCGATCTATCCTCGTGCGGCTCATTGCCTGACACTACGAGATGACAGGCCGCCCTTTCCAAGCCGCGCGTCCCAGACGTCGGACATGTTGTCTATGAGGTTCACTTGCACCCGACGTATCGGATGCCATGCCTGTGGTTCACGTTGCACGGGCTGCCAGCAGACGAGCCAGCCTTCAATCTCGATACAGTCTTTCGGAGGCTAGTACCCGACGAATACAAGGACGCCCTCCGCAAGACGGGCGGCATCGGAGGCATTTCCGCCGATGTGAGTGCGAACCAGCTGTGAACCAGTCAATTATAAGTTCTGAAAGAGACCATTTGTAGGTCTGTACTAACACATCATGTCGTAGCATCACCCCCTGACGGGACTTCCCTCTTTCTTCATCCATCCATGCCTCCTCGGAGACGCCATGTCGGGGTTCGACTGTTCCAAGGAGCAGTACATGATGCTCTGGCTGGGCCTGGTCGGCGGTTGCGTTGGGCTCTGGGTGCCCAAGGAGATGGCCATGGATTCCTCCGGTTGAAGCACTCTGCATTATTCCTGCATCTCCCCTTGCTGAACTAGACTACGAGACCCCGCGGGTGCTCAATCGTCGTCGCTGTCCTCTTCCATGGCGACGTCACTGTCGTCATCCTCCTCCTCGTCGCGCTGCCGCTTCTGGCCCCGGTCGGCTGCTTGTGCATCGCTCATCGGTTGGTCACCGCTGGGAGCGGGCTTCGATGCGGCCGCGGCCTCGCCTGGTGCCGGAGCGTTGAAAATGCTTTGCTGCAACTCGGTAACTTCGACATTGGAGGCTCCGGCGGTCGAGTTCGGCATCTTGTACGTGCCGTCAAGCTTCGCGACGAAGTCTGACTTGGACTTGGCGTACTGGATCGACTGGTATCCGGTCAGTAAACGCATTTTCCCGCGGAGTGGTTTGGAAAACACACCAAAGGGCGGCCGAGGAAGTCAAAGCCCTCAAGAGAGCGCATGGCTTGTGTTGCTGCTTGGATGTCGCGGAAGGTGATGTGCGCTTGTCCTCGCATTTTCATGGTCTTCATGGCGACAATGTCGAGCACCGGACCGTACGCAGAGAAGAGCAAATAGAGCTCCGTTCGAAGGTCGTTTTTCTGGATCTTTGCGGACGGGAGATTTGTGACGTAGAGCCTATAGACCATTAGCACACCGTCATGCAATCAGGAGCTGTGAACGTACGTCTGATTGGGAGAGATCTGGGAAACTTTGGCGGGCAGTGATGAGTTGGGCGCAAGGCCGCGAGGAGGGGCGACGGCTGCCATTGCAAGTTCGGTCGACGCGGCAATGGATTGAATAAGTCGTGGAGTGGTTCGTTTCAAGGGTTCGCAAGAGTGATCGTGAGCGCGTCGAGGGTCTGTCGTTGTGTAACTGTCGCGATCTGAATTTTTGATCTTCGTCCGGCCACCGCAGTTTGGCCTTCGGGAGCTTCCTTACTAGCGCCGTGCTTCAATTGAGGGGACACCCCAGGGTGGCCTTATGGCCTGAAGTCGGTGCAGACTGAGCGACATGCTTTGCTGAAGCAGCTACGTAACCTCTGCCCCACCATGAGCAGCCGCTCGTGGTACACCGCATTGTACGCAAAGCAGCGCCTTGGGCATGTACCTAGGTGGCAGGTAAGCAGCGCATCGTCTCGCACTGCCACTCGACACTCAACATCCTCTGCTCCTCTCCACCAACACTCGTTCCTTTCCTCGACATCTCCCGCCATCCGACAAAGTAGCGGTAGTAGAGAGCTATACTCCTATCGCGGACGAATCCCTCATCATGGCGCCCCCTCAAGTCCACCACCTCTTCCACGCCCCCATCGCGGACCACTCGTTCTCGGCCGACCGCGAGACGCTGGCCATCGCTCGCGATTCCACCATTGAGCTTTATGGACACGCCGGCAACTCCTTCAAGCTCAAGGACGAGCTGAAGGGACATGACAAGACCGTGACCAGTGTCGATATTGCTCCCAACAGCGGTCGCATTGTCTCCTGCTCCCAGGGTATGTCGATGCCTGCACCAGCCCCTCAGTCGGTACCTGAAGCTAACTTGCTCGCCAGACCGTAATGCCCTTGTGTGGGAGCCCTCGCCGAACGGATACAAGCCCACTCTCGTCCTGCTCCGCATCAGCCGCGCCGCTACCTTTGTGCGCTGGTCGCCTTCCGAGACCAAGTTTGCCGTCGGTTCAGGTGACCGCGTTATCGCCATCTGCTACTTCGAGGAGGAGAACGACTGGTGGGTTTCCAAGCACTTGAAGAAGCCCATCCGCAGCACCATCACGTCGGTCGCGTGGCACCCCAACTCCGTCCTCCTCGCCGCCGGATCTACCGATGCCCACGCCAGAGTCCTCTCCAGCTTCATCAAGGGCGTCGACCAGCGCCCGGAACCCACCGCCTGGGGTGAGAGGTTGCCCTTCAACACCGTCTGCGGAGAGTACCTGAACAACTCTGCCGGTTGGGTGCACTCCGTTTCCTTCTCGCCCAGCGGAAACGCTCTGGCTTTCGCCGCCCACGACAGCAGCATCACCGTCGTCTACCCCAGCGCGCCCGAGCAGCCCCCACGCGCCGTCGTCACCATCTCTACCCAGCTCCTGCCCTTCATGAGCCTTATCTGGAGCAGCGAGGATGAGATCATTGCTGCCGGCTACGACTGCGAGGCATTCCGCTTCAAGGGCGGTGAGGGCGGCTGGGGCCTGGCCGGAACTCTTGAGTCCAAGGGCCGCCCCGGCCTCGAGGATGCCCGCGAGGAGTCCGCGCTGAACATGTTCAGGCAGATGGATCTCAAGGGCAAGGTCAAGGATGATACCCAACTCAAGACGGTCCACCAAAACACCGTCACCAGAATCCGTTCGTATGAGGAGTCAGGCGGCAACGTCACGAAGTTTACTTGTAAGTTGCACGACCGTCTTTGTCTCTTTGATTACCATGAAACTGACTTGACACAGCTACCGGCGTTGACGGAAGAATTGTCATCTGGAGCACTTAGACTACCCTACATAGCAACTTTGAATGAAATACCACAGTGTCTCAACCTACTCTTCTAGGCCTCTACCGTACTTTCTGCAAGGCTGTCGTCCCGGCCAGCAGACCTTCGAGAAGACCGGTGAACAAGTTCAGGTCGTTGCACGCACGTATTTAAGATATCGTCAACCCAGGAGCCCTTGGCTGTTAGTCGGCGGACTCTCCAACTCCTCTTCTCAGCCCACAACATGGACTCTCCAATCTCCCCGAGCGAGTTCATCTACAACCCCCGTGGACGGCAGCGGTCGGCACAGAGCGCGACTCTGTCAATCGGTAGCCCCGTGCCAGCGCAACTAAGACCCGCAGAATCGGACGTTCAACATGGGCTGTCATACAGGCCGCAACCGCATCGACTCGACGCTCAGCGATGGCACGTTGAGTTCCGCCAACCCAGTCCAAATAACAGCTCCTGCATGCGCCAAATTGACCGAATATGCTTCGAAGCCGCTCAGAGGTACGTAGACGGCCAAGTCAACAGACATGCGCATAACAATTATCCGGCCAACGACGAACCTCACCGTCAATATGCAACAACCAATCACGGGACATTCAATGGCTTCTTTCAGATTGAAGGATACTTGTTCTCGTCCAACATCAGGCGCATTTGCGATGGGCTATGGGCGCGGTCATGGCAAGACAGACGCGACATCTACCGGGACCGACAAGCAGTTGGGGACATGGCGAATCTCCTTGACTGGTCCTACACGATTTCGCATGTCGAAGACGACGATACAAAGAGTCGGTCGGAAGCAGAGAGATGTAAGATAGATGCTGCAAGGAAGTTATGTGCATTCCTAGGAGACTTGGAGAGCTGTGATGAGATTGAGGAGCTGGTGTTGCTTGAAAAGGAAGCCTCTCCTTGGCTGAGTTGAGCATTTGACAGAAACCCAGCAGACATTGAAGCTCGCAGCCTCTTTGGTTTAAGTTAGAGAGGGACGCGTGGGGTGGCGTCTTTCAGCGTCACTATGCAGTATGTCTAATCATGATAATCAATATCTCCACTTATACTGAAAATGTCTTCAAAGCCTGCGATCTTTTGCAAGCGTTCATAAAAGTTGAAAAGCCAGATAGAATCACGACTGACTGACAGATGCAGCTGCTCAGGCTATCTTTGACAGTCTCTGAAGAGCTCCAGGCAATCAGCGGGGTACGTGCAGCTGCATACATTGATAGCGGCATGTGCCAGCAAACCACAGGTACCCTTGCCCCTGCCACCACTCAATCGTCCCGGTGTCCAGCGTCGTTGACCTCTCACTGATCTAATCCACCCCACCAACACCAAGACCGACCGAACCCAGGCCCGGTCCCTAGCGTGGGCCTCCCAGCTTCCCGCCGTGCCTTTTGTCAACCACCTTTGAACCGCTGCATTATCCTTTCACAATTTTGAGGGGAAACACGTCGTAAACGGTCGGCGATAAATATCGCGACCTTCCTTGCAGTAAGTCCTTTCCTTCGTCAGTGCTGGTTGGTCCTTCCCTGGATCTCGACAGATCTTCAGAAGCATCCAAGTTGTCTGTCGCACTGCCCGCCAAGATTACTCACCGCATACGCAGACAAACGACCCGCCACGCCGCATCGCCTGGAGGACCCCGCCAAAGCTCATTGCTCTGCCGAACGAATGACTTGCGAAGACTTCCACACACCTCTCGATACCACAACTTTGCTCCCTTGCTCTGAAAATTCTTGGGCAATCACACACACCCACCGACATGATCCAGGCGGCATGATGGAATCCTCCATGTCATCCCCAGAGCGCCAGCTCTGCGATCGCCTCAGAGACCTGCCCAGGAGATGGAACTTCCAGTACGACGACAACGCCCACCATGACCTCCTCGACATCCTCTTCTGGTCATTAGCAGGCGGCGACCGCTACATGCCTCTCTTCTTTCCGTCCGGTCGGCCCTCCCACAACCACAAGCTCCACGACGCCCAGGGCGCAGTCGAAGGCGCCGAGTACACCGAAGCCGCCCGCGGCAAGCGATGCGGCCACATATTCAAGCCTGGAGAGGCCTCCTACTCGTGCCGAACCTGTAGTACAGACGACACCTGCGTTTTGTGCAGCCGATGCTTCGACTCGACAGACCACGCCGGTCACATGGTGCGCATCAGCATCTCGGTTGGAAACAGCGGCTGCTGCGACTGCGGTGACGACGAGGCTTGGAAGGTCCCCATGTTCTGCACGATCCACTCCGAGACCGACCCGGATAAGGCGGAGGGCAAGGGCAAGCAAGCGGCCGGCCTGCCGGAGGACCTGGTGCAGAGCATGCAGATGACAATCGGCCGTGTCTTTGACTACATTTGCGACGTCATATCGTGCTCGCCGGAGCAGCTCCGACAGGCCAAGACCTTGGACTCCATCCACGCCGATGAGGAGCTGTCGCGCCTGTCCCCAGAAACATACGGCGAGGGTCCTTCCGATCACACCGAGTATGCGCTGGTCCTCTGGAACGACGAGAAGCACACCGTGGAGGATGTGCAGAATCAGATTGCACGAGCCTGCAGGACCACAGAAGCTCAGGCCCTGGAGCGCGCCACCGAGACGGATCTCATTGGCAGAAGCATTCTCAAGCGGCTCGATGACCTTGATACCTTGCTCGAGATGGCCACGAAACTGGAGCACATCAAGGTCACCGTCACTATCCGGTCATCACGCGACACATTCCGAGAGCAGATGTGCGGCGCAATGATAGAGTGGCTCAGTGACATTTCGGGATGCAGTGTCGGATCGGATCATGCCATCTTGAGGCAGACCGTTTGTCAGGAGATGATGAAGCCTTGGAGGAAGGGCAGCCCCGGCACGCACGCTGTCGTGGGCAAAGACGGCATCTATGATGAAGAGCGATTCCTCAGAAACCTTGAGCAGTCCCAGACCTTCACGCAGCACGTGCTTTTGCAAATGCAGCGCATAGCCGCTCAGCAGGCAGCGCGCGCCTTCGATGCTAGTGATGACGAAGATATCGACATGGGCAGAGGGAACGGCACTCCGGACAGCGACGCGGGCGACGACGACGACGATGATGAGATGGACGACGACGACATCATGATGGTGGATGTTCGGGCTGAAGCTCCCGGGGACATTGGGCTGGAATGGCGCGGAAACGACCAGGCGTTGGAGGAAGACGAAGCCACCATGGCCGGGTACCCGCCGCCTCCGCCTCCGCCAGCACGGCGGGCCGCGCGGGACCGCGACCTGACGCCCTCAGATTCGGATACGGCCGAGCCTCTGATAGCCCCTGCCATTTACGCCAAGGCCAACC